AATGCTGCCTCCAACTCTCCATGGATATCTCTTCACTCACCTTGTCCCTGACCTTTTTTTCCTTGTTGATATATTTCCAAACTTTTGTCTCCGTCCTAATTCCATTCAACTCCTCCATTTCCCTTTTACTCCACTTTTTTCTCTTCTTCTCACAGAGCTCCACTAACTCCCTTTTCACCTGCAACACCACTTCCTTGCTTCCACCCCCTATCCTCCATCTCTTTAGCTTTTTTTCTGTCTTTTTTTTCTGGTGCACTCTCTGTCCCACCATTTCTTGTAACCGAGTTTCCTTTTTCTCCTAACCTTCTTCTCTACTACCGCCTTTCCCACCTTGCCTCTTAGTTCCTCCCATTTCTCCAGCAAACCCCCTTCAGACAAACTAATCTCCTCCGTTCTTCCAGCAAAAATTCTTGTGCTCTCCTCGTCCCAGCACTGTATTATCCTCTCAATCTGTCTTCTTTTCTACTTTCTCCCCTCCTCCTTCAGGCCTTCTTTCGACGTCCATACACTCACCAGAGGCATATGGTCTGATTCTATCCTACTCTTGACCTCAAACTCCTTTAGCAAGTTTCACCCCTCTGTGTTAACTAACAAATAATCTATAACCGACGCCCCTTTCGCCCTTACGTATGTACATGAATTCTCCCTCTTCATCACCCTGCTTTGTACCATTGGCCAGACACCATCCTCCTTCCTCTATCCATTCTAACAAACACACTCCCTTCTTGCTGACCTTTTTGTCCTTAGACCTTCTTCCTTCTACTACCCCATCCCTGTACACCCCCCTTCTTCTCCAGTCCAGACGTTAAAGTTCCCTCCAATTATCATCAGCTCTTCCGGACGTTGCTGCTCCGGGCTAGCTATGTCTTCTTCAAATTCCTCGGGACCATCCTTTGCGTAGACCGTACTAATTGTCCACTTGTGACCACCTCCTCGTTTCTTCCACTTCACCAAGCCTCTCCTACCGTCGTCGACCTCCTCCTTTATCATTACACTTTTTCTGTTTCCTACAATTATTCCCCCACTTCCCCTACCTCTGCTCTGCTCTCTCACCGCATATTGCACGTGCCAGTCAAACTCAGAAGGTAGATTCTTTATCTAAACTTTCCCCTCATCCTCCCTTATCCATGTCTCCACCATACTAACAAAGTCCAGCTGTCTTATAAACTCCCAAAAGTCCACACATTTTCCCTTAAGCTCGGCTACATTCCAGAACCCTATTTTAATTTTGCTTCTAACCTTGTCGGGACTCGGGCTTCTCGGATCCCGCGGTCTCTGCCGCGACCTTTCGGGCGTTTCCTTTTTCTGCTCTTCCCCCCTTACTCCGAAACCTTCGTTTGCTCCAACAGCGAGACATGTTCTTTTCTCTCAATCTGTCTCCAACTGAACCATCTATCCACCAAAAAGACTTTCTTGAATTTGACATTGGTGTGCTCCCCCCATTCTTTGACTACCCACGCAATGCCTCTCAGTCTCCATTGAATTTCCTCTTTCTCCTTGGATAGCAACTCATCCATGAAAATTGGCTCCTTCCCGAACTTTTTCTTCCTTCTTAGTATCTCCATCTTTGCTGCCAGGTCTTTCACTTGAATCCCCAGTCTCCCCCCTTCTCTTGACTTTCCTTCACACTTCACACCAAGCGTCCTCGACCAAATGGCCCAGACTAATCTCCTGGAGAAACTTCTTTGTTTTTTGCAGCGGATTTCTACTGTTCCACTTCAGGCTACTGATCCTCAAACTTTTCTTTCTTTTCTGCTCCTGATTCTTCTGTTTCCAATCCAATAGCTCCTGCACTTTGGTTTTTAAAGTTGTCTCCTTTACTCCTGTCTTCGTCTTCTTTCCTCACTATCTCACTCCAGGAATGAAGATAAAAAAGGTTCCCTTTTCCAAAAAAATTTTTTTGAGGGTAAATATTATTATTCGGGGAAAAAACATCGTCTATTGTCTAATAAATTAGCCCATAGAGGGTTTTGAGAAGGGGAAAAGATCTGCTGGGAAAGAATGTTTATTAGCATCAGTTGCGTTTAAAATTTAATGATTAATTTAATTTATGATATTATTATTCTACTCTCACAGTTTTTAAATTAGAACAACTAAATTTAATATATTATCTCATGATACTCTAACTTAGACCGTAGAGAGTTTTGGAAAGGAGTCTGAGTCCGGAGACAAAGGGCTCCCATAAAAAATTGTTTAAAAAAAGTTCTTAAAAAAAAAAAAATTTTTTTAGGTAAATATTACTATTCGGGAAAAAGAAGAAAGAGCTTTTGAGCCCGCGCAAAGTTAGTATATTATAATACATATTTTAGTTATATCTGTAAAGAGAGAATGACATGTTTCTCAATTTTTTTTGTTTCGTTGTTTTTCATTAAAATTTATTAAAAACAATTATGTCCAATCATATGAATAATTTATATTAGACGCTCAAGCAGATTGTGCTACAATATCAAAACTTTTTGCAGACTTATCATGATTGAGCTTTTAATATATCTATTTTGATTTTTCAATGTTATTATTTTTAAATTTGGTCAAAGGGCATAGGGGGATAAACTTGGTGAAATTGCCCTGGGCGAATATTTAATTGCCATTTCGAGGATATGTAGGTATTGATAAAAGACAATGATAACCCTCAAAAAATCAGATGTCTAACTCAACGGGTTTTCGAGTAAATAAAAAATACTTAAAAAAAAAAATTTTTTTCGGAAACGAACGGCTTGATTGATTTTGATAAAATTTTAATATGTTATAGGGACATATAAAGACTTTCTTGAGACAGAGCAACAACTGTATAGAGTTTCATTATCCAGTAAAAAAAATTGTTTTTTTCCAAAAATCATTTTTTTAAGCATGATATGATTTGAGCAAAATTATGAAATTATTTTTTTTAGAAGCTTTATACTTTCTTATATAAAATATATTTTTTTCGATTGATTCGAAATGGTGCGCCGTACTGAAAAAATAATAAAAACTATTTTATACTATAAATTTTCCGGTTTTTGATATTTATTGGTCGTTATTTTATAATAACAATCTATATATTATAGATTTGTGCAAAAAATCCAAATTATTTTACTAAAATCGGTAAAATATATTTTAGATCAATTTATTAATTTTTATTATTTAAAAAAACAAACAATGACGGTTTTTTTATAATTAATTATTTATTTATTTATTAATCTACGTGTTTATTAAAATATCATTAGAAACTTTGTATTTGTCTCCATCAATATCAATAAAAATAATATATATTACATGTCGATAAAATTAAAAATAACATAATAAAGCATATATTGCAATTGCACATTGATTTTCAGTCTTCATCACTGTCTTCTTCGATCACTGTATTGGTTTGATCGTGATCAAATAATTTATTCAGTTTTTAAGTATTTTTTGATTTACTCGAAAACCCGTTGAGTTAGAGGTCTGATTTTTTGAGTGTCATTGTCTTTTATCAATACCTACATATCCTCAAAGTGGCAATTAAATATTCGCCCGGGGCAATTTCACCATGCTTATCACCCTGCCCTTTATATATATTTATATATATTCAGAAAACTATTTTCTTTCCGTGTATATAATAACTTTGTAAGTATATTTTATATTGTGTCTTATTTATAACGAGCAAAGTTGTTTATGAAAAATGTACATGCATTAAATTAAATGTACATTTTAATACCGATCAAAGCAGACTATTTATGTTTAATAAATGTTTTAAAAACGTTTAGCCGATACGTTTTCATTATGTATAAAAGTACGTTCCTTAAACCGTCGAAATGTCTCGTGTGAAAACGGTATTTTAAATTAGTTCAAAAAACGTTCAGATAAAAGTTATAAATTAATTAAAGAAACGTTGAAATAAACGTTATAAATTAGTGAAAGAAACGTTAAAATAGATATTCTAAGAAAGTAAGAAAATGTTTAAATAAATGTTTTAAAATATGTCTGATATTTTTTTTATTATAAATTATACAGACTTTAAAAAATACTAAAGATTTTTAAACTAAATGTTATTTGGGTAAATGTGCATAAAAGATCCAACAACCTCACCGATTTTATCACCACTTAAATATGTTGTAGGCTTATACAACACACATCCCGCGGATGTCGCAATTTTGCTTCGCTGAGGGCCTGTTTATATTCGCTCCCAACTGAAATTTATATACTTACGAGTTGATCTTACCGTCATACGCCGCCTAGTAGTGCCATTGCGAACTAGCGCGGAAAGATTATTAATAAGGCTGAATTCGTTACTTTTGTAACTATTAATTTCTTTACTTGCGTACCACGTAACGCGCCTGACTCGTATAGCTGTTTATTAATTTGTTGACATTTTTACAAGTCTAATGACATATTTATATTATTATACTTATTGGATTGGCTCGGTTGGAGTAAACCAAGAAAAAAAATTATCCATGTTAGCGATCTTTGTCATGTACTAATTTGAATTGCAAATGATTCGCGCACATACATATATATGTATACTTAAATTTATTTTTATTTAATTTGAAAAGTTATATGCAAACTTTCTAAAAATTAATTCTGATTATAAATATAATTAAACATTTTATTTGTAATGCATAATTTTTTATTATAGTTACAATTACGGAAAGAATAAATGTGTAAAAAAGATTTTATAACTATTTAATAAACGTCATAAAACGTTTATTAAATAGTTAAATAAACGTGTTACATTTTAAATGTTTTTTTAATCGACTTATACGTTTAAAATAAATTTGTAACGTTTATTAAACGTATTTTGAACGATACTGTGTTGCTTGGACTTATCAATATTACAATATACCAACTAATCTATTTAAATTACCGATTATATCAATGATATTAAATGTATCCGTATTAAAAAGTCGATATTACAATGCACATTTAATGCATGTACATTTTTCGTAAAGAATTGTGCTCATTATAAAACAATATATACAATAATGTACATGATACATTTAAATTATTGATTATATCGATAATATTAAACTTATGCACTAATATCACATCATAACTTCGCGAATCCATTCTATATATGAAGAAACCTTAGTAAACACATGAGGTTTGTTGCTAGGACACAATTCATCTCCGTAACTCACAATACCTATTTGAAAGTTTTGATCATTTTTTCTTACGATGAGAGGACCACCGCTGTTACTCTAAAAATAAAACATTAAATAACAAATTTACGAAAAAGGAGACACTTTCGAATTTCAGTTAGCCTATAAAACGATACAAGATAATTTATATTGCGCTTTAGAATAATGTACTTTATATATTTGTATAATTTTTGTAATATATATTGTTATAAACTATCTCTCTAAATTTTTTGAAGTAAAATTTTCACTCTAAACATGGAGTTACTGACCAGTTCACTCAAAAAGAGTGAATATTTGCTCCAATAGAGTGAATTTATTCACTCTAAGGTAAAAAGAGTTAAGTTTCACTCTGATTTTTAAAGTGAAGTCGTTGGAGTAAAGTTGTCACTCCAAATTTCACTCCAACTTGAAGTGAAATCGCCTTCCCGCTTCTCGCTTCGAATGAAGTCATCACTCCAAACTTCACTCCAACTTGAAGTAAAATCGCCTTTCTGCTTCCCGCGTGTTCAATTGTTCCCGTGTAGAAATTTGTTAGGGATGGCCTTACATAACATAAGGCCCCGATTATTTACGAATATATTTACGAACACAAAATTTTATAATGATCCGACACTGGTTTCTGACATTCACCCGACATTAAGAAATATTATATCATATATCCAATTCAAAATTTTATTACTTTTTTTAAACTGAATTTGTTTCTTAAGATGATTTTTTAAAAATTATATATTTGCGCTGGTTGTGATATATGTAGACTATATATAACGCTTACATCAAATTAAGAAGTAGTCTACTACGTAAGGCAGTTGGCTCACGATGCAGAGGTCCCGAGTTCGAATCCCACCAAGGTAAGTGTGTTTTTCAAATACGAGAAAATATTTATAATCATAGACTGCATCTTAAGAAACAAATTTAGTTAAAAAATAGTAATAAAATTTCGAAATAAATAATTTTTTTTATGTCGGGTGAATAATTATTCAGTGAAACATGTCACTCTTTCCAGAGTTGAACAATTACTCCAAGTAAAAAGTGAATAAGCACTCTTTCGCAAAGTGAAAATTCGCTCTATTTAGACTGGCAGTATTTTCATTATTCGTAAGAGTGAGATTTCACTCTTTTGGAGTGAGATTCCACTCCAAGAAATTTAGAGAGATAACTGTATTATTTGTGATTATTTTTTACCTCACAAGCGTCTTGTCCCAATCCTGCAGTGGCCGTGCAAATGTGCTTGTCGCTGATGCCCCAGTATTGTGTGCATACATCATTTCTTATAATCGACAATGTAGTATACCTAAGTCTTTTCATACTTCTTCTATTAATATGATTTCTTCCCCATTCGGTCACATAAACACACGTTTTGTTCACAAACCTTTCGTCGTAATATGCGAGTTTTATTGGCTGAATGTCAACTAAAATAGAGAAATATTATATTTAACTAATAATTTCTTAAAATCAATATTGAGGCATGATATACATTCGTAATACTTTTTCATTAATTTTATAATTTACGGTATTTTTTTAGTATGCATCAAAGTACGTATCAAAGATTATAAAAAAAGCTGTACATTGATATACAATACAACTTTTTATTTCTCCTTTTCACATTTATAAGACTATTTGTTATTCAAATCGTTATTAACTTTCAGCATATTTTCCATAGAATAATTAAATAATGCCGACATATAAATAAGCCTTAAAAAAAAGAAAGAAAAATATCAATTTAAATGTACTTACTGGAAAAGGGAATATCTTGTGGCATATAAAGTAAGGCAATATCATTGTTCATTGGCGCGTATTGCGGATGTATAAACACTTGAGTCGTAGCCATCGACACAACGAAGAGTCTAAGAAGACTGTATCCAATGCCAAAGTTGTTGATGATAGTGAACACTACGAAAAATGTACTTATAGTAGAAAAATGTACTAGAAAAAAAAATATCTTGTGGCATATAGAAGTAAGGCAATATCACTATAGCCTTTTTGCATATTGCGGATGTATAAACGCTTGAGTCGTAGTCATCGACATACCGAAAGTTCGAAGAAGCCCGTATCCAATGCCTAACTTGTCGCTGATACCGAACTCTACGAGAAATGTTCGAGGGGTTCTTTCTACACAATGAGCGGCTGTGAGAACCCATCTTTTGGATAAGACCGTGCCAGCGCATTCCACGTATTTGTATTCCAAGAATTGATGCACCATTACCATGTATGGATAGCCTGACTTTAACGCAGTAGTAGATCCGCCCGTTGTGTTAGTTATTGTTCCATCTATCGTTTAAGAAAAAACTCAGTGTAGCAAAAGAAAATCATTATAGCTTTGGTATAAGTATTATGAACTATGTGCAAAAATTATACCTGTGCCTGTGTGTGTGTGTGTGTGTGT